TATTTACTTATTGTATAGCTTAAGTGTTGTTATGCGTGTAAAATTTCAATATTTAATTTTAGTACTACTGAGAACTAATAAAGGCCACACTTTCCACATATACATACTATAATATGTATTAAGTTTGGCCACTATTTTAAAGCGACAATTTCATAGGTAACCAATTGTATACGTACATATATATGCTACTGTTAGTAAATATTTATTTATTTATTTATTTATTTACTTGAAAAAACGTCGATAGATAAATACATTATACATAACCAGGTACAGATATATTTAAAATTTCGTGTTTCTTATTTTGAAAATTATGAATTTCCATACAACTATTAATTATTCCTTATTTTACCCATAGGGGTGAAATTGGTTGGAGTGGATAGTTTTTATATAAAAAGCCATCAACTGCCAAAATTTCTGTAGTCCTAGTAGTTTAGGCTTTGTGTTAATACATCAGTCAAGGATTCAAGACAAAAAATATGTACAGTTTTATGGCCGTCGTCTAAAGCTCGAACGACCAAAACTATTTCTAAGCTGTTAAAAACTGCGTTCTCTCGTTATACACATTTCAAATTAGTTTTTGTCACTTCCAAAAAATACCTGTAGAAGCTGATGTTGAACAATGGATCGGATGCATATAATAAATTCGATTTCCGCACCTGAGTTTTGTTTCAAATTAATACAAAACTGTATAATTTAATCACGTTTCAGTTCAGTGGGTGAGGAAAAAGTCTGGCGGTGGCGAATATGCGCTGATTAACGGCTACACTTTCTCGAACGGCGGGAAAACAGATAAGAGGGGCTTCTGGAGATGTACCAGGACTTCGCCGAGATGCAGAGCCAAATTTTTAATAGGCCAAAACATGAAGATTGTCATAGCGCAACTGACACACGATCACGACCCATTACGTTACATTATTAGCAAGGGGCTTATTGTACGAATATAGCTTTTTAGAACAGGGAATGGACCGGGGACCTATTCTGTTTCCCGCACCTATCAATCGCTTCAACGAGTGTGCAAACCGTGTACAGTATTGCTGTTTCAACTCAGAGTCGTTCCCCGCCTTCATTAATTAGAGTCCTCGGCGGCTTAGGACCTCATTTTACCTATATCCAGAAGCCACTGGGACCACTTTACTATTAGTAGGACCTCTTGTGAGTCCACACGGGTAGGTACCACCACCCCACCTATTTCTGTCGTGAAGTAAGGGTGGTGCAGCCGTTGTAGAGTCCTTAGAACTTATATTTCAAGGTGGGTGGCGCATTTATGCTGTAAATGCCTATGGGCTCCAGTAACCACTTAACACTAGGTGGGCTGTGAGCTCGTCCACTCACCTAAGGAATAAAAATAAAAAAAAAAACAACAACCAAACTTACGAACTCGAAAGGCTTTAAAATAAAAGTACTACAGCGTCTTATTTCATCTAGAAATTTATTTAATCGTGTTTGTAGTGAAAAGTAGATTTTTTCTCTTGAGCTTTAACACTTTATTAAAATGAATTAAGTAATTAGCAATAAGTATGTTTTTATAGGATGATTGTGTTTTGATATGCATAAAATTATACTTCAATCTGATGTATAGAAGATCAAAATTAATCTTAGATCGAAATATTGACGAATAAAAATAAGTATTATAGTGTAGGTTGGGGATATATCTTCTCCATTCCATTATTTTGAGTTACAAATTACTGTTTAATATATTAAAGCAAGAGAGAGTTTCTAGCTCATAAAATTTATTTCAATGAAATTTACTTATTCAAAATATGTTTGTATAATAATAGTTATTTTTCCTGTTTTGCCCAAAAATATCCAGAATCATGAGAAAGGATCGTGAGTACTTAAAATATACCAATAAGATATAAACTAGTTTTACTCGTAAGAAAATAAAATATAATATTATGTCAAGTCATGTCTTTGTGTTCAGTATGGTTCTCTGTAGTTTTTATTATTAACATTTATTCTTCAGTATTGTTAATATACTTTAAAAACCCAACAGACTTGGTGTTTTACTATAAAAATTATGTAATTTTTATTTCTTATTTTTAAATGACGTTATATTTCGATGTTCAGTCCGTTTTTTAAAATCCTAAATCTGTCAATTGCAAGCCCGATTCTCAATTTCCCAATTTTGGTTTTCAGTTCTGCAGCTCCTGAACCTACATGGCAAAACTATATATCTGGTTAAAGGATATCCGTTTTATCTAGTGAATGACAATGGATATTTAACTTCATGGAGGTGTACAAAAACAACGATATCGTGCAAAGCGAGATTCACCATGGCGGGGAACAACATTGTGCGGCACAATTTCATTCACAATCATAAAAACGATGATTATTATATAGCGAACGGCGTTTATTATAGACGTAATAATTTTAGAAAAACTAAACGACGCGAATACTGATCGATGTGATTTTTAAATTGTAATGTTTCCAATTTAATTTCCAAATAAAACGGGACATTGAGGTCAATCTAATGCTGTTGAGTAACATTTCCTTGTGGGACTAATGCTGTAAGTTTTATTCGACTGTAATTAATGTAAATTCCTACTCGATTAGGCCGCCCAGTTTTATTTCCATAACGAATTTTTTTATGGTTTCCTTTTAGTTTGTATTTTGTCTCCTTTTGCTTGAATAGATAAGATTGTCTGTGGATTGAGTATTATGAAAATAACTTAACTGCAATAAGTAAAATTACCTTATTAATGTTCCAAGAGATCAGATAACTTTTCTGATTTTATTATTATAATTTTGATGTCATTCATTTTTGTTTGTTAATTGTAAGCAGTCTATCGCGCTTAGAAGAGATTCGCTTGATGCTACTCCTAGGAAAGCTAGGTTTAAATCCTCGAGCTCCGTCTCTGTTGGAATATAATCCAAACATACATAGGAAGGGAATTTTGAAGAGTAGTTAAGGACTATGACACAACTTTATGGAATGTTTATAATATGCCTTATCAAAACAAATCACAATATACTCTTCTCGTGTTCAGTTTTAATTTATTTCTCGAAAATTTTTGGCGCAAAAAACATGCTACTTTCAATTTATTATGCAGGCATGCTCATTCAATAACATAGGTTGATTAAGTTTCGATTACGACAATTTGTATTTTCCAGACTGCGATTAAAAAGTAAAAATCCAAAATTACTTTTTATCTTATCCATGTCACAAATATGATGTCCAAATGAATCAAATAAAACGTTTTGCTGGCAAATAGCTTTGCGTCATGCTTCGGAATATTTACCATTTATTATTATAGTCTTAGGTTTTTTTTTATCCTACTATAGTTTTTAAGCTTACACGGTAATTCTTTATCGGTTCATTTTGTTTATTTATTTGTTAGTTGCTGTGTCTTTGAAACTAGTTGATTGTTTTATTATTATTCAATATTAATTTAACAAAACGTAGTTGGGTTTATTCAATTATTTTTGCCATTATATGCAGACGACCAGACGTGGACCGTCTGGACCTGGACCTTATGATAAGAAGTCACTGTATCTCGTGGACATTGGTAATACCAGTAATACCAGGGGCACAGTCAAGTGCTTCTTAGATATAAAATTAGTTGTTGTCTTGATTTTAAAAGATAATAATCATTAGTTAAGTTTGTTCTTAGTTTTAAGATGGCCGGAATTATCACTTTTCGAATTTTTGTTTTTAGAAAACTAAATAAAATCTTATAGCGTAAGTTAGTTAGATTAATGACGTTTCAATTAATGTTAAAACCTTCAAAAATATTTTATATATAATATTTTAGTGAAATTTGTCTAGATGATGTACTTTTTTTTTTAATTTTAAACTTATTTTATTATGAACCTTTTAGTTAAATCGAAATTATATAGTAATCATATGCAGTTAAATAATAATTACTAACCTTTTAGTAAGTTTGATACCATGTTGATAAAATGTAATTAATTGTAAAATTGGATGTCATAAGTATTTTATCCATGTTTTAAATTATGAGTATTGCTATTATGTAATAGTTTTATTGTCGTCCAGATTAGCGAAAACATACATAATTCGATATAATAAATAAAAAAACCAAATCACTGAATCCCGACCCTCAATGACAAAAAACTATGGCGTCTTTAGCAATACAATGACCCATTTAAATTACAATTTTACTAAAGATTCCCGTTCTTTCCGAGAAAAAGTTAACAAACCCAATACCAAGTTCGCTATTTTAGAATTCATTGGGACTCCTAATAATAATTATCCTGTGAAATTCTGAACACATAAGATGTATCAAGTAGTCCCTCACGGACCAAAATAAAAAGCGCCGTTAAAAATTCTAAAATAATCTTTGTCTTTTGTTTTTTTTTCTAATGCTCTTACATTCTAGGGCCCGTGCCACTATTGCAGATCTATGGTGATGGATGCTACAGATAGATAGATTATCAAATGTTGAGGGTAGTTTATTGAAAAAATTCTAATGTTAATGTTCACAAATAATTGATTTCCTATTAATTTTTGTTAGTCTTACATAGTGTTAGTTATCTGCACATTTGTTATTGCATACTTTTATTATGGGGCAATGCAAATACATGTTGCAGTTTCAATTAATTATTGTTTTATTTTTGTATAGAGTTTTGATTACTGTGATTATACGTAAATTGTCATTAATTTTGAATAAAGACCTCGAATCAAAACCGAAACGAAAGTATTTCGCTGATTTAATCGTAATGTAAATAATGACCAGCAACGCCTTATATTTCCAGCACCGACTGTGGAATGGATGAAAAGACCGAACGGTAAGGAATTGGCTGTGGTCGACGGCTACACGTTCTACTGCCACAAGAAGTCGCGGAACACCACAATTTGGGACTGCACCAATGGGGGAAAGTGCAAGGCTAGGTTGATCACGGACAGTGGCAGTGAGCCGTCAACGAGATTTTTGATGAATGCCAGACTGGACCACTCACATTCTCCACCAGATTACATTATAAAAGATGGGTATTTTGTTAAAATCTAACTTTCGAGATCACAACAAGTTCGTTTCTACTTTTTGTATAGGTCCGTGTGTTTTTTTTTTCGTTTGGTTAAGACCTCTATGACTGGATAAGTTATTTAAATCAATCCTACCCTACAAACTGGTGAAATTGGTATACATTAGAACCTATTACAATATAAAAGTTCGATTTGAGGAGTTCGAGATCTTGGTATCCGAATTTTTCACGTTACTGTCAGTAATCTAATTACCTGCCTTTATAATTATTGTATTATTATTGGAGTAGATGTGCAATCTACTTAAGACAATGGTTAGTGGTTAATCGAATTCTATGGTAGTCTATATTCTGGCGTGAAGTTCGCCATGGGTACCCTGAAGCATGAAGCCAAAGTTTTAATTCCATTTGAATAACAGATATTGTACTCTTCAATGCTTTGTCATTTTAAGGATATCTGATATTCCACTGCAGGTCATGTGGTCAGGTGGGCAATCTCTATAATTTCCACTAACCGCTAAATATCAGAATGGCGAAGAACTCTCTACCAGAAATTATTTCTGAAAAAAAAAAGCACTGGATTTATAACTTCATCAATTGCACTCAGGTAAATCACATAGCGTGTTCGTACTCTCTGATTCGAAATTATATCATACTCATAATACTGTTCTTGATTCTTTAATTGAATTCTAGGATGCATTCCTATCAGTATATGTTTTTTATGTATGAACGTTTGGGTGGACCACATTAAATAATAATGACTTACTTTCGAAAGAACAAGCAATATTTGATAAATAATTTATTTAATAAATAATTAATTTATTTTAAGTATGTCGTTTTTAATACAAATTTTAGTGGGTATTTTTTGTGATTTGGATTATAAAATTAAATGTTATAAAGTCTCAGTTGTTTTTTATTCTCTCACAAAAGAAACTAACGTACCTATTGCCTTTGATGGTGTGTCATAGTGTATAAATAAAGTGTAAATATTAGTGACGCAGATATGACCCTAGTAGCCTAGTAAAGTAATGAAGCATAAAAAATACTGTTGATTTCACCTTTACCAAATTTATTTTTAAATATTTTAAATTATCAGAATATTTTACAGATATAATAGTAGATTAAGGGGCGAATGACTACGCTGCTTTGTCAACTACGCGCAAATGTTTGGTCAGGATTTTATAGACTTAACAGCAGATAGTTCAGGAGCTGCGTCTATTCGTCTAATGGAATCAGAATCGTGTATTGTGATCTCAGCGTTAGTAAACATTCGGTCTGTTTCTGCGGTGGAGCAATGCATTCCCATTTCACTTGCAACGGCTATTCCAATGGCACTAAAACTTTGGATGCCGTCACCCACCTTGAGGTATGGATGCGGTCGAATTATTAACTGTATGGCTTAATGACTCTCTATTTTAAAATATAATGCAGGATGTATTCAGAATCAGAATTGCAGAAATAATCAGAATAGTATACCGCGTGCGGACTCATGATACGCCTAATCACCAATAAAAATGACAGATGGGTCACTGTATGATGGTAAAAACTCAGAGAACACTGCTGTTTATTTTCGGATAAATCTCTTAGTCGCTTTTTACGATAACTTCGCAAAAAGTTGGGCTGATACATTTCTATTGAGTTTCACACTCGTCATGTACTAATAAAACCGTACGTTTCAGTGATACTGTTAGCTAAATCGCGTTACTCGGGAAGGCATTTGGTGATGCACAACGATTACACGTACTACTGCAAGAAACAGTGCAAGAAGACGAAATATTACCACTGGTACTGCTCGACTCACAACTGCAGAGGGTGCAATGCGAAACTCAAATTGGACAACAATTTCGTTATAATAGAACTAGAAAATGAACACACACATCCCCCGGCCAAGTATTTCATACATAAAGGGCAATATGTAAAGATAGCTTAGTATTTAAAAATGATAATCGTTTTGTTATAACGAATAATATTTATTTAAATAGAGTTTGGAATGTTCGTCATATAGAGAAAATTAATACTGGTTGTATATATTTAAACATAAAAACATGATAGCCTATTGAAATTCACCTAACAACAAAAAATACAATCTTTAGAAATCTTTTAATTTCAGAAAATAGGTACCAAATGATTTTATTTTAAAATATAAATTTTACATCCTAAAGCATTTCAATTGCCGTCTGGCTAAGTTTTAGGTTTCATTATAGCAGAAATTCTATGTTCCGTTTACTGAAGTCTTCCACTTCCTTTGGAGTTGTTAGCAATCAAGAAAATAGTATTTTTATCTAAGTTTCTCAGACACCAAGTTCCACTGAGTGAAAAAAAAAAGGAATTTCTTTCAACAACCCATCTATTTATTAACCTTCTTTTGGCAGACTTTTTCTACGTTATAGGATCTAACAGAGAGATATAATCTTACTACTAGATGCGCTACTATTTTTGGAACATTTTTAGACATTTCGATATTAAATCGATTCCAAAAAAGTCCATGGACTTAAGAACTTAACTGTTAATAGTTGTTACCAATGCCCGTTTTACGTGTGTGGTAACATTTTATACAATAGTGACTCATTGTGGAATTGAAATAAACAATTTTACCAAAGCTCTGGTTTCAATTGACTGAAAATTTGTGGTGATTATTTAGGAAAAGCTAAATTATAAATAAGTTTTCAAATTTTTGTAAGTCATTTCATTTTCGATACATATTTATTATATACTAACTCATGAATAGTAAGACAACGCATTAGAATACCGTTGGATTATTAGAGCTTCTAGGTATATTAATTAGGTTTATAAATCGTAAACAATTTTGCGTGGAGTTATTTTAAGCTGCATATTATTATATTAGTAGCGAGCAATAATGATGTCTTGAAATAAATCCTAAGGACGAAATTTTTTTTTCAAATTCCTCGATGGCATATAACCAATATTGCATACTCCGGCCGTGAATCCTTTATCCTTTTCGGATTTTACTTTACATCAAAAGGACCACGAAGCTAGTTTTCTACGTCAGTAAAAACGATTATTAATTCTATATTTTTATAAATGTAATTTTAATAAAAATAAAAAGGTATTTTTATAACGAAAGCCTATATGTATATATATTTAGTATATATAAAGGAACTTTTACGCGGGAACGCGTGGACCGAAGTCATTTGAATAGTTTTATTTTGTTCATTTAGCGTTCTTCAGGTTTGAATGGGTAGCAACGGTGGTTTATTAACTGTTTAACATCTGGGAAAGTGCACACATGTGGGAAAATGATACAAAGCCGCTGGAGGTACTTTCTCGGGATCTTCCAAAAATTCCACTGAAAAAATCCCAGTAAATAACCATTGTTTCACAGTGACGTTAGTTCCTGCCATCTCATCTCATATTTTCATCATTATAACAGAATATAATAAGAAAATATAAGACTCGGCTTAAAGGTCGTGTTACCAGGCCATAAAATCTTTAAAAAAAAGTATAAACAAAAGCTTTAGTTATTTTCATTTGGTATAGAAAAATATTATTTTTTTATTCACAGCACGTCGTAAGAAAACGACTATGATTTTTGGAGGCCATACCTTCTATAGTAAACGAAGTGGCGGTTCTAGAATCCGATGGTACTGTAAGCACAGATACATACGCGAATGCAGTGCTTACGCCATAACATTCAATGACGTCGTTGTTATGGCTGACGAAAGCCATAATCATTAATAAGCATCTGCGCTTTATCACAACGATCACCAAAAAACTATATATCGCAGCACCTTTAGAATTGAATGAAGCAGCTTAATCCGAAATTCTTGTTTATTTTGGTAAACTCCAAAAATTCAATTGAAGAATTGTATTATGTATTTATTTTATTTTTCGATTTTAATACTTTAAGGTATGCGCTTGATTTAAAAAAGACGGAAAGAGTACGTTTGTTTGTACTTTTTTGAACTAAAAGATACTGTTATAAAATATCTTATAAAATAAAATGATAGAATACATGTTTATAAGTCGTTCGCAGTACATATAAATCTCATTTTCTTAATTTTTTTGGTTAAGCCATTTCAATACAAAAGCTGGGGATATATGGATAGTTAGCTAATTCTCATGTTGTATTTGTTATTTTAGTTATGTGTTATTTGTTCTACACACACTCATCACTTTTTATTATTATTCTCATTATCCTCTCGCAGGTCTGCTGGAAGAGATTTCTTAAAGAAATAAGCAGTGCCTTTGTACGTAATTTTCCTATTACTCTGTACTATGTCTTCTTTTCTGTGTGTACATAAATAAATAAATAAATAATTCTAAAAGAAAACATTAATGGGAAACAATTCTTCTATTCTAAGCTGTTTTCACTCGACAAGAGTAGTCCTAATGCTTCGACCACTTGCAACACTTAATGGATATTATGATTGTTTAATTTCATAAGGATCATTAACATAGTCCTAAAATTATTTTGGAAAACTAACCGAATACGAAATAATATAATTTTCATTAGAAACAATGTTAACTGATTTTACTAAGTCAGAACTTCTTGTGGGAAGTTTTGACTAAAATGGTCTCTTGTTTTACAGTCAAACAAATACAACGGAATGTTTCAAAATTGATTTCTCGGTAAGTTTTTAATCGTTGATATTTTTGTATTTAGTTGCAAAAATCGCCTGATCGTTTAATATACATAACATTAAATAATTATCGTTATGTTAAGTAATAAACATCCAATAATTCAGAGTACGGGTTATTTAAAATTAACGATCAACCTCCGATAACGATCTCATTATGATGTAGTTCATTGCGCAGTAAGAGCTACTAAGAAAAAACGATAATGTGTGATGACATTTTTTTAATGCTTATACTTACATCCTACATATTTCTGCCACGAAGCAGTGACGCGTTTCGGTTTGAACAATGAGACAATTGTTATGTTATAGAACCGGAACTTATAACTAATTTCTCAAGGTGGGTTGTTAATGTCTATGGGCTCCGCTAAGTACTTATCAAGACAGTCTGCCTACAACGGCTATAATAATAAAATTAAATGAACTTCTTCGCGACTGATATATGACCTACGTCTGGTATCGATTAATTTTTTTTCCTACCTAAGCTGATATGAGCCTTGAGAGGCTATTTCGGCGTAAACTCAACTAGTAGGTGAGCTCACGGGGTTCAAATCGGGAGTGTTGCTAACACTGGCCCTAGCAGGAGCAGTGCTTCGCAGAATCTACTACCGATCGGAAACGCGACCCACTGAGAAGACCCTGCGAGAAACTCAGTGGGCAGTGTCTATGGGTTAATTCGCTCGTTTAGCCCTTCGTCGCAAGCGACGGGTTCGACGAGGACGGTGACCGGTGCTTGTGGTACCTAAAAGCACTGTTAATGGATCGGAAGGATCCGTAATGACGTGTTTTGGGTATCGATTCATGCACACTACAATTTGTATAGTAAATTTTTGTAATTTTTTTTTTCAGCGTACACCCTTGTACCATTGCCTACCGGTCGATTTCTACTAGACGATGGCGTGTCGACCTTCTCCACAAACAAATCTTGCTTGGAAGGCAGCGTAACGTGGTACTGCTCCAAGCGTGTTAGCAAAAAATGCCCAGTTCGAATCAGAATGCTCGATAAGACAGTCTTACACATTGCAGGAAATCATACGCATAGAATAAGAAAATGAGTTCGAAAAGAGTAGTTTTCTTGGATTAAAGCCAGTTTCGCGTTTTTATTGTCATTACAATAGTATTATTTATAACATTACGGATACTACATATTTTTCGTGGTACTGATCACTAAGGAAATAAATGTAATGACAATAAAAAATTCGAGTTTCAACTGTAAAAATATCTTATTAATTATGTTTTAAATGCCGTGATATATTTTAAAGACGAGAACGATACGTTTCTATGAGGCTAGGAAAAATATGAGGGCTTGTACTTAATGTGACCATATAATATATATTTTTACTCAAAACGGGACATTGGTTTATTTGGGACAATTGACAGGTACACAATAAAAAAAACAGTACTTTTTTAAAGTTATTATTCCGAAAAGTTAGTTTGAAAATTACAAATTAAAGAACATATCGACGCTTGAAAGGCAAACGTACTAAGCGACAATAATTGTTTTGTACATAAATGATAGGCAATAACCATATTCGATGCGCAAAAAAATTTTTTTTCTAGGTCTATCAAAATAATTTCAATCCACTGTAAAGTTCACGCATTGTCGCTTAGTCACGTTTGCCTTTCAAGCGTCGATATATACTCTAGATGTTTAGTTATATTTATATTTATTTTTTTTTTTTTTTTTTGGTCAGGAGGAAATCGCCGGACTTCCGCCCTCCCCTGGGGATGAAGGGCGGGGCATGTCGGAGTCGAACTGACTAAAACCTCCTGTCGCTCAACAACCCGCGTCCGAACCTCGCATGAGACAGAACCCATGAAAAGGCAAAGGGGGGAAAGTGAAGCGTTTAGTGCGGAGCACATCTCTCCCATCACCCTCCCCCTCGGGACGCCGGACCGGCGGTCGTCGGCGCCACGACCACCAGCCCTCTCGGTCGGCAGGCTATCCGGAGCCCGCCTAGATGGCGCCGGTTAGAATGGGTTATCCTACGGAATACCCCGCTGGGTCAGAACCAGCGTGGGTCGAGGATAGCCGGCCTTCCATCACCCGGATGCTCTTGCGTAAAACGCGTGCAGAGCAGCTTGCACGTCGTCTTCTTAGGCCCCCTTCGCCGGTCCCCAGACCGACATATGAAGGGGACCCGAAACACTTAGAGGGCCAGGGCTTGGGCGAGATCCGCCTCCCTGGCCCCCGCTCGACGGCGGCGGGATTGTGCGTCTCTCACGCGCCCCGCCGCCTCCTTCTGCGAGATGGTGCACTCGCAGAAGTCGAGCATCGCCTTCCACGACTCGTCGTCGCCGAGCATCGATGCCACAACACTCGGCAACGACAAGTCGTTTCCTATTTTTGCGACGAGGACACGGCGCCACCCCTCCCATGCGGGGCAGGCGACGAGCGTATGCTCTGCCGTGTCCAAGTCGCAACCACAATGGTGGCACTCTGCCGTCGGCTCGGCTCTGATCCGGTGCAGGAACTCACCGAAGCAACCATGCCCAGTGAGCACCTGCGTGAGCCGGAAAGTGAGGCGTCCTCTGTCACGATTCGCCCAGTCCACAAGGACTGGGCGAATCGCCTCGACGGTCCTACGACCAGCCGAAGGATCGGCCAGCCGCCTGGACCATGATTCCAGCACGGACC